ACACGGTGAAAGCACCTCTCGAAGTTATTTCGTAGTTCAGCCCGGGACGTGGGGTTCTGCTCCAATTTTGAATTGGGTATCTTGTGAACAATCTCGCGAGCCAGGAACAGAAGGGCTAGAAAGCGCAGTAGGATACCCGAGAAGAGACCCCACCAGATCTTTGATAGCATCAGCTAAATGTAAGCTCAGAACTAGATCGTGAGAAAGATTATGACGATAAAGCTGATGACTCATAATAAGTAATTATGCCTGTAATTTAGGGGAGCCTTACCCCTATTCCAGCGATATCAGGATCGGCCATCAATGGATTTGAATGAGTGCTATTTCTATAACTGTTTACTGTGCCATTCGTGTCGCTGAAAGTGATCTTGCAAGCATCTTCGGTGGGGATTTGCTGGCTTCTGCACTCTCCTGGAATGTCGAAGGTAAACGTGGTGCTGAAATACAGCTTGAAGAACGATTGGTCAAAACCCAAAGACAAAGCCTGATCATGTGGGTAGTAAGGGTGTCAGCTTGCGCTGAATACCTTGACTGGACGCCGTTGCATTGGTCTGGAAACCAATCGCAAAAGCTAAAACAGGAAAGCTTCGAACACGTTATGCTTGAATTTTATCCCGCAACCAAGGCCTGTCTACGGGTAGGCAGGTTCATCATTTTAAGAAACTTAATGTCGCAAATTCGCCCGGAGCCTCCCCAATAAAATTATCAGCTATTCTAAGTGTGTGCCTAATTTTATTCTGTTGAAGACATTCTCAAATCTTAAGAGAGAGCGAAGATAGGCTGAATTAAGTCCTGAAAAGCCTATCGCACAATAGGACCGTCTCCAGAACGCCCACGGCAGGCTGAGCAAAGCCACGTCACCAATGTGATGTTCGGCTGCATCTCCCAATACTGGGCCGCATTTATACACGTATAATCACCGTTGTCGTTGCCAGCTCTGACAGGAGTAGATGTAGAAACCCTTATAGCTCGAGGGGAAGGATGGGAGAAATTTGAAGGCTAAACATAATTGTCTTCGAAAACTTACATAAGACAAAAAGAAATCAAATTCAAGATCAGAACCAACTTAGAGAGAGGAGAGTTTCAATACTAAGACCCAACGCCACCTTTTTCCCATAACCAGACTTGTATGCTCCCACCAGTCTATTGCACCTTTATATCTCCCTATGCAGTGAGCTTCCTGGAATTTTAATTACTGCGCCAAGTAAGGACATTTAGCAACATAGCAGCTTATTCGCAGGACAATGGCAGACACATCCACCTTCTTTAATAATATCTTTACATCTTGTTACGGGGACCCACCTAAGTGGCCCCCACCTGTATGCCGTTAGTTCACTCTAATGCTAGGCCTTGGATATCTCCCTCTCTTACCAACGCATCAGTTTTCTGCCATGTTTGCTGACACTGCCCTGCACCACATCTGTATATACTAATTGGTCTAAGGGGTATAGCGATACTCTCCGGCTAAGTAGATTCTTTGCGGTGTTTGATGACACCGGTGCTGTGAAGAGGACGAATGTCTGTATATTTCTCAATTAAAACCCGACGAACAATCCTGGCGAGGCTTTAGGCAGACAGACAAACTCTTAGCCTCAGTGAAGAGAATGGTGTCAGAGTCACACCAGCTGAATTATTTAACTAGGTGGGAAGTCAGTTAACGGCCGCACAGCTACCGAAACTACTTGATTACAAATCTATGTAGAGCTTCAGGATGTTGAAAGTAGTGGAAGTTGGCTATTCCTTTCATTGGCTTTTTATAGACTTGCTGTTGGGCGCCTCATTTGAAAAATCGGCGCTTCCCAAACAGAATTTGTCATGTATTGGTATTACTCCCTTACAGCCGCCTTTTGAAGGTAGCGTGTGATTTTGATATGCCATGCATTTCTGCTTCCGATCAGTTGCTTGCTGAGTCATATTTATAGCTGTATTTCTTAGAGAGCTGGTTTCAACTTCAGGACGTGCGTCTGCCTATTACTATAGGTACGCCCGTGTCAGATGCTGACGGAAGCATGAATGTATAAGAGAGTAGTATTAGAAAATAGTGAGACTCGGGTAAGCTCGGAATCCTTTGAATGCCCAGTATACACCGGACAGAGGCATAAATAGGTCAGAACTTCATTAGTATAAACGAAGGTCAGGTTTTTGATTTGTAATATACTGGACCCTATGTTACTATACTCCTTCTTTCTCTTTGTGCTGCCCCAATCCTAACAGCCCGTTTACTGAAGTGATCGATTATCACTACATCTTTCTTGAGATGTGCTGCTGTGATTTAAATTAGAATAGTTGTTTCACGATCGCGAAAGACCGTAGAATGGTGGTTACATATCTACTGGCTATGCCCCGGCTGGTTAAGAAGGCCCATTTCAGGCAGAATAAGTCTGCAGTAGATGTGAAGTTGATTCGTAAGTTATGAATTAGCCGTAACTTTCCTTCGGTCTTAGATAGTGGAACATAGAGTCTAAGATGACTGCTTGTTTGGTCATCGAGCCTTTGCACAATAAAGACCGAGAAGCTGGCCCATAACAAATGTTCCAGGATAGGTTACACTATATGGAGAAAGAGAACGCGAAATAAAACGTAGTTGTTTTAAGCAGAGCCGCGGCCTGCAATCCGTGCGTAAAAGACAGAAGATTCATAGTCAGTATGTGCTGTTTGAAAACAAATAATTACGTTGTTCAGCCTTTCCGTTAATTAGCTGACTCTTCCTGTAGGAATGTTCAGCTACATTAAGTTGAGATACCATTAAAACCTGGGCACCGCGCAAGATCCAAACTATCTTTCGAACTGGCTTCCTGAGATAAACCAGATATTAAATACGTAGACGACAATGCAGCTGCAATTCTCGGCCCTACCTATACCAACATATTCAAAGAACTATCTGCCCGTTGATACGAAGCCGATATGTTAAAACGTTGAGAATGGCTTGGATCCAAAAGGTTACACCTAGTAGCAACGTTGGTACCTCAGGCCTGAACCAATAGCTTCGACGAGTTTAAGGACTTTGAAGATAGTGACACGTGAATTCCGCATGTCAACATATATTTTGTATCTATTGTGAATTACGAATGCTAGCGGTAATTGTCCTTGGAACGTTGTCCTCGAGTAGGGAACAGGTGAGCGATATATTAACCGTTGTAAATCAGCGATATTCTGCGAAAGTCTGGTTTGGTGACATATCGTGACCGGCATCCGCCTCAGCTCTTTGGTAGCAGGACGTTCGTCATGAGAAAATCGCACACCGTCTAGGAAAGAAGTTGGTGAGCTCCGTCCTATTGACCCAGAGTGCCATTTGCATGGCATCGTGTCAAACACAGTCCCGGGCCGAAAACTTGGGGTAATTCCATACGGCGTCGTAGTACGTCGACATTACCTCCACTTAAACCCGGAATCGTGTGCATTTATATGACAACTTGAGCGCAAAAACTCCGAAGGACTCCGGCGATAATGCAAGTCAATTTGATTCGGCCCGCCCCATCCGGCTGATCTTTCGCCGGTTTTGGAGCAATTACGACTACACATCCCGAGTACATCATGACACAATAACGGTCGGGAGCGCCCAACAAGAAACACTGCTATATCTGCAAATTAGAAAGAATATCGACTAGCGCTGATTACTTCCTACTAGCGATCGAAGCGCCTCTGAAGGCACAGGAAACGGAATGGCAGCTGAAGCAAAGCAACCGCCTACCAAGTTCGGCGTCGTGCTATTCCCAGGCTTCCAAGCACTGGACGTCTTCGGGCCGCTTGACACGCTAAACAACTTATCGCGCAACACGCCTTTAGAGTTCGTGGTTCTCGCTGCGACACTCGAGCCCGTCTCCACGAAGGTAGATGCGCCGGGACGCATCGGCCAGAGCGTGATGCCAACGCACACCTTTGACAACTGCCCCGAGGACCTCGAAGTGCTCCTCGTACCTGGAGGCTTCGGTGCACGGGATCCGGCAAACACGGTGCCCATTGTCGAGTTCATAAAGAGAATCTTTCCTAAGCTTCGGTACCTGTTGACGGTATGCACGGGCAGCGCCGTTGTTGCGCAGTCAGGGATCTTGGATGGTAGGCGCGCTACTTCGAACAAAAACAGTTGGGAATGGGTAAGTGACTTTTGCGACCTCACCTCACCCCTTGTCCGTGCTCTGCCTCTCTGTGGATTTATTCATACCCTGTATCCACGCAATATCCAATTTGTGCCTAATGGTCCGAGGTCAGGCCACTGCTCAGGGTCCAGCAGTTCAATGGGTGCACCAGGCGAGATGGGTTGTGGATGGGAACATCTGGACCTCGTCGGGCGTGTCCGCTGGCATCGATCTGATGTTTGCATTCATTGCGGACCAGCACGGCGAGGAGACGGCGAGTTGGCTTGCGGATACAGCTGAGTATGTGCGCAATACTGATCCCAATGCCGATCCGTTCGCATAAGCGACCGCCGTTTCGAATTGTTCTAGCTTTTGACTACCTAAGAAATACCACAAGCGTATTGTGGGGTGAGACTCTTTCTTACTTCTCTAGACTCACTGCACCAGCCGTATAGTAAAGCACCATATTGTGACGGCTCCCTCAGCGGACCTAAGTGGAAGGTAGGAATGCACTGAAAAGAGTTATGAACGAGACACCACCGTCCATGGAAAGTTACAATTTCTAGATTTAGCTCCGACCAACAACTAATTCCGAAGTCAGCAACAAATTACTCCTACTCAACCCTCCTTCAACTCGTCGGACTATGAGCTCCTAGTTTGCAGACTTTCCTACAAGGATGTTCCTATTCATTGATTTGCCGACTGAGAAAACTTCGCCACTCTCATGCCTATAGCACTATCGAACATCGGAAAGCTCATGGGCCGTCCCACTAGCTAGGTAGAGGTGTTCTAGAACTTGCAGCTAACAGATCCCGCTGAGCAGGGAGACCGTTCGGGATTACCCGTCGTGGTCAACAGAAGATTGCTATTTAAGATCAACTCCAGCCACTCGCCTTATTAAGTGATAGATTTCTTGAGAGTTTGTCCCGATTGACGTAGTGGTTAGCGCGTCGTTCTTATATCTGCTTTGCTTTGTGAAGCTTATATGGTAGAATAGCGAAAATCGTGAGTTCGATGCTCACACATCGAGAAACTTTTTTGCTCATATATTTTGAAAAATTCTACCTAGGCAAGCGGTTAAACTGCCTCGCCAGAACTAAGCCCAAAACCATGCCATCTAGTATGGTGGGAGACAAGCCAAAAAGGGTTGCGCTTGGTCCTCGCATTGTAACTCGAACGAAACACCTCCGCTCAAACTCCGCGATAAGCGATAAGACAATTGCGCCAATATCACTAAGCGCGCGATAAACCGCGCATATACTAGGCGCCTGATATACGAGCGATCGCGTTTTCTATAACAATACGCCTATTGCGTCCGAATATCAGGCCTACTTTAGTGTAGCGCATCAGAAATAGAGGCACGGCAGCCTAGAAGGAGTGGTCGCGGGTCATGTACATAGCTAGCCTTTGAGGTTTAAATTGGTAGATATATGTGTAGATAGCATATAGGCTGGCCACGTCTTATACCCCCTGGGAGGTCTAGTTAAACCTTCTTGACCTTAAAACAATCAATCAATCGATCAATACGCATATCGAAACATACTCTATTAGAGCGACCATCAGCCGAGTGAACATTCCTTGTGGAGAGTCTTGCAATTATTGCGGGCCATTTCATTCGAAATCTTCCATGCTGCGTGGGATTACAGCCATGTCTCCCAGAAAGTCATTAGATGGTTATGAAAGGGTAGCTTCTTCGAAGCAACGAGTTAGTAAACAAAGTTCTCACGAGCTGACATGGATAGCACCTAAGGTATGTACGATCGCCAAGAACCATAGCCATATAGAGTGGCGTTGTGATTTGTCTTTTGTGCTCTGGGGCCATTGGTTAGAGTGAAGTAGGAGTATTTATCTGCGATCACTCGAAGGTTAGTCGGCAGCATTGAATTGCGACAGACAATCCACAAGAAGAGGAATGTGAATATCATGGTAACCTCTAGAGTGTGACAGGGTGCTTGAGTTCTAAACAATACAGAGCCAATTTATTTCAAGGCAAATATTAGCTGTATTCATCATGCTGGACGTATAATAGACCATGAAGCGAGCTTTCGAGACTTAGCGGACTCTCGCCTAGTTATTTCTCGTCTTTCGAAAGCCATATTGCAAAATCTTCGATTGCCACTCCCACGATTGCGTAATCCCCACGAATTAAAAGAAAGAACTTTGCGCATGTAAAGGCATCCTCAGGTAAATGGCTGTAGCTACCTAGCATATAGTACACAGCTGCATGTGGTGAATATACATCCTACTACTTATTGCATTTGCAGACCGCTGTATTCGCTTGAAAACTTGTCTTTTGTGTCTTTTAAAAAGGTAATACTACATAATTCTCTGGGTTACATAAACTTGGGGAGTATATAGGAAGACAACTGTCGCAAGGATTCACAGGAAGGGTTTCTTTTATTTCTAGCGTTGCTCGTCAATGTCTTTTTACATAATTGATAAGTGTTGATAACAAATACATTCAATAGTACTTTCAAATACTTTGTACTGAGCTAAACAGGTTTTTCATCATGTGTAGAATAGGCGCTACGTGCTAATAGCTACATGTCTGGTCCCGAGGCCATCTGACAAGGTTACGATTAGTTACATGTGGTTAAACAGGAACATGTATATACAGGTATTAGTTTAACAATGCATTGCTTCTACCAAATGCACGTGGCGACTTAACATTGCAGGGTCTGGCGCTATTCTGTATGGTGGCTTGCGCTAAAGCGTGTAGCTGCAGCGTTCACGTCAATATCGGCTATTCATGCAGCCCCGTAACCTGCGAGTTGTTAACCAGAATACGCCACTCATTATTTTACAATATTATAGAGAATATTATCTATGATATTTTGCTCGATATAGTCTTAGCTTGGGTGGAAATGATGCGGGAAATGGATTTCTCTTAGCAATACTATTTTTGTCTCTGATATCGTAGTGGACGGAACACCTTGCAATTCACCGATTTCTAGTGCATGTATCTCTCACATATTGTTCGTGCACAATCACAGAGCGACATATGCACATAAAGAACATGTCACGACATATGCGGTGTCCTAGCCCCCGCAGCAAATATCTAGGCTGCGTGTGGCTTACATTTAGTTCTCGGCATAACCGTTTAAGAAAACAACGTCATAAGTCACTCCCTAAGTATCCGAAACAAGCCTTAATTAGTCTATACGATCTCCATATTATGTGACCGTGATTTTATTGTAGCACCTGGAAAAGAAATTTTGCTGGACTTGACGGCTAGAACCCGTCTTACGCCCTCGGCTGCTATGTGGACGACGTAGGACAATAGAGCTGCCACCGGACCTTAATGGCAGCGGACCGCCAATGACTGCGACGGAGTCGCACAAACAAAGCGCCTCCTATAAGCTCACCGTCAGATATGTCGAGCTTCTCTGAACTGGTCCTTGCTGATTGGGTTCATGTGATCTCTTTCGGCATATTAAGACTCTCTGCCTTCGGGGCAGCCTGTGACGAGTGAGTTGAATTTCAGTTTTCAACAGGTATAAGTCGATCTTATACAAACATCAAACATGTCGGTCATTTTCTTCCACGACACAGTCTGCGGACACCCTACAGCCAGACACGAAACACACCTGCCACCAGGGCTTTGCGCCAACGGGAGTCTTTACTGCCCCTCCTTCACAGCAACGTTAATGCCAGCCTGTCCCGATGGTGGAATACCGGTCCTATTTGTCTCTCCAGAGTCTGGTTGCAAGCTTCCTCAGACTTTCTTCGAGCCTGGTGGGGGTTTGGCTGTTGCTACACTCAGATGCCATTGGACATAGGTAGCATGCGGCTAATGCGTTATCCTCTCCACGGCGATGAACCTATCGCGGCAGTTCCGGTGGAAGGAGGTGTCCATTGGAGGCAACATAGGCTAGTCACGATGAAAGTGCCGTGGTCATGGCTGATTGTTGGTTACATCATTTTCAACTTCATGAGTACTAAAGCCTTTTAATTAAAAGTGCTCGATATGCGAGAAGTTCCCGGAGATTTTGACAACTGCAAAACCACAAAATAAAAAGAGTGGCAACCCTGACCGCGCAGGATAGTTCCAGGTTTCGTGACCTATCTGGGACATTCCAGTATTGAGTTGGACGAGTTTCAAAGGGTCAAGAGCCGCAAACCAACGGAAACAGGCTACCGTCAGTGCCCTTAGGCATCTATCTAATTAAGTGGCGAACAAAATCTACAAGGACAAGGGTGGTCGTTCTGTCAAGTGACATATAACGGAGTGGCGCGTGTAGAATGGAAGGCCAGGAGACAATGCAGCCGAATTAGCTTCAAAGCTGGCCTTAGTTGCAGACGCGTTGCCGTTTTCAGAAAGTTTTCCTGCTCCGATTTCGAATACTCGCGCAGAAAGATTTAGTCACAAGCACTAACCCAAGACAAGTGGTAGAAGGAAGAAATCCTATGGCACTCACTTAATCGCGGCTCTCTTTTGTTACGGTCGGAGCCCGGCAACTATAACGGGAATAATTTTTAGTTCGTTATTCTACCCAAACGTGTGCTTTTTTAGTCATGTAATTTAACGCCTAACGTTAAACCCATCCAAAGGTTGGCTGTATCCAGTTTTTAAGATGCTTGCCAAGGTGTTTGAAGAAACTATTGGACATGGCGCAGTGTCAGAGTAAAAGCCGATTCTTACCCAAGGAACAGTGCAGTCTACTTTTGGCTTGGGAGCTGTTGTGCTTTGCTATTGGCGAGCCAAGTGACATGGTTGTCCGGTACGATCGGCGCCAGAAAGAACTCCGAATAAGTAGTCAGGGGTTGGCCTGGGACTAAGGAATGATTTCTAACCCTGAAGGATAAACCATTGGGCCGGTTGACAGTTACCAAGGAGCTGACCCAATGCCTGCCCATACCTACAGGAGATTCGTATAGGATGCGCTTGTCCGCCCCAGATGTAGTGAGCACTCGCTTAAGTATTATTTCGTCATGGAGTCATGAGTATTCGGCATATTTCACCGCTGCATAGAGGCATGTCCCTGAAAAAGGCACACTAGAATGCGAGAACGGAGCTGATCGTTTTGCCAATTGCTACCCCATCTTTGTTGACCAACCGCAAAACGGTTGAATATGCCCTGTTCTTGACTTCCAGGTTTCTCGCGAGTAGACTTGTTCTTAGTAACTCAGCTGCGCGCACGGATGCGGTTTCCTAGTGTGGAACTTCAGGGATAACCTACATATTGCCACCAAAACTCAGCCTCTAGCGCCCGTTTGGTGCTAAACCAGCTCAACGTCTATGACGGGGCAAAATACGCAAGACGGAAGAAGAGTAATAGTTACTGCAAAACTTGGAAAAATAAATGAAAGCTGAAGAAGGCTATTTGATGGAGTTCGTGCCAAGAAATCACTATACCGAATAAAGAAACAGTTCTCATGCAGGCGATTTCTGCAGAAACATGGCAATTGACTACTCGCATGTTGTGCTTCGTTACATAGCGCACGCCAAATTATGTCGCAGATAGTTGACAGTCCTTTTCCTCAACCTACTCGAAGTTTACCGCAGCTAATGACTAGTTTTCTATATTACGTAGCTGGATCGTATACTAAGATACGAGCAGGAGAACAGCAGCAGATTGAGGGTTAATCGATGGGAAGTTCGCTGAGCGGCACAGTGAAAAGCTGCTACGCCGGTTACTACTGACCTAAAACGTCAACAACTTTCCGCTCCCCCATGTACACTACCTAAAGAAGTGTGGTTCAAGCTTATTTGGCCAGCTGACAAAGGCGCCTAAGGTTTACTATAGTATGTAGGTATGCGCAGCCATTCTCCGCGTTTCTCCATTTTAGCTCTGCTACGACCGCCAATCACAGCCACCTCCAGCATCCCAAAGAGGAAACCCCCCAGGACGCAACATGCAGCAGGACATGCAGCAGCAAGGTATGCCAACATCACGCAGTGCAGTAACCATTTGTCAATGAAATTTCTGTTTTCGGAGAGACACTATTTTTGACGGTAAACAGGAACTACACAGCGTCCATCGTTGTTGTATCTCCGGATGCAGCTAAGATTGATTGTCCAAGTCTTGCAA